ACCACTCAGCCCCACCCCTATACCACTCAGCCCCACCCCTATACCACTCAGCCCCACCCCTACACCACTCAGGCCCACCCCAACACCAATCAGCCCCCACCTCTACACTACTCAGCCCCCACCCATTCACCCCTCTGTTCAGTCCCTTTATCTGCTCTTGCCCTCTTTCCTCGACCCAACCCGTTGCGCTCCGAGCCACCCCATTCCTAGCCCCGCCCAAGTCCCAGCCACGCTCCCTGTCCTCGACCTGCCCCAACCGCTCCGCCCCCTACTAGCCCCGCCCCTCCCCCAGACACACGCTCGCCCCTAGCCCCGCCCCATATCCAGCCCCGCTCCACCTCCAGCCCCGCCCCCTACCCCAGCCCCGCCCCCGATGCTCGTCCCATCCCACTCCTAGCACCACCCCTCACCGAGCACCGCCCCACATCCAGCCCCGCTCCACCCCCTCCAGCTCCGCCCCCTGTGCTAGTCCCACCCCTCACCCAGCCCCGCCCTGTCTCCCAGCCCCGCCCTGTCTCCTCCCCGTGCCCCTCCCCCTCTGCAGCTTCTCTCTGTTTGTGGATCGGCCATGACGGTGGAACAAAATGTCCTGCAGCAGCACTCACAGAAGGTAAACAAACAGGAAAGGAGAGGTTCCCTCCCACTTTGCCTTTTCCCCTCCCGCCTGTCCGCGGCCTCCTTCTTGTCCACATGGACCTGCGTTGCCCCTGAATCTTCCTTTACACGGGGAGGGTCCGCCCGCCCGCGCCACCATTCACCCCCCCATACCCCAGACCGCTGCCGTTCGGTTACCGTCTGAGGAGCTTGCTGCCCCCGCTGCGCTGGTACGCGAGGCGCAGGCTTCTGGCCTAGCCTAGCAACAGCAACAATAATAATGCTAGTGTAACGCCCAGGGTATTAATGGAGCTGGCACCAGCCCCAGGGCGAGAGGCTCTTCCAAGGTACTGCGCCTGGGCCAGGAAGGGTTTGAGTTTTACATCAGGCTGAGAATGAAATTTGTAGCTTGTTTATTTTTGTCTGGCGGTGAGGGCGGCGGGTTCAGTTCACTTTGGACATTGTGTTAGGGTTTCACCTGAATTTTCCCTCCCTTCAGGCACAGCCCAGTGTTAGGCACAGCCCATAGTAGAGGACAATTGTAAAGCCTCCCTAACAAAATCATCCATTTGTTTGTCTGTGCCCTCAGTCCCTAAGCTGCATTTTTCCCACCTAAACCCCTCCGCACTCTTTTAAGGCACTCCTTAAAACCGTAAGCTTTTTGGTTGCCCCTTCCTCAGTGTCAAATCTTGTGTAACAATGCTCCTGTGGAGCACCTTGGCATATTAATCACGTTGTGTTTGCAAGTTGTAGCAATTTCGTTCTTGCAATAGAATGAAATTTTCTGAACTGCGTGATGCATTTTCACTCTTTCTTTTGGTTATGAACCATGTTGTGTGTATGCGCTGCACTGTCTGAGGTACCTTCTCTCAAAATGAGATGTCGAAGAGTCATACCTTCAGCTCTTTTCAGGTCAGAAATCACACGACACCAGGTTATAGTTCAACAGGTTTATTTGAAAACACAAGCTTTCAGAGCCTCAGTCCTCCTTCATTTGTTAATGAGAGAGGTCATATCAGACACAATGTATATGTAAAAGATCAACATTTCACACAATTAATGAGAATATACTAAACAAATCTAAGATGTTGTTAAATCTTTAATCAGTTAAAAGGTTTTATTTGATTAATATGGATATGTAAATCCCCAAATTCCTTTCAAGCCACGGTCCTGAGAGAACTGAAGGTTTTACCAGTATAAAGAAGAGGTGACATTTTAGGTTAGACAATGCAAGTTAGGTGTGTGACTTTGCTTAGAATCTGTTTGTGTTTTAGTTTGGAGTCAGACTGGTTTTATTTCCAAAGTAGGAATTTATAAAAAAAACCATATTGTTGATAAATTGTGTGCTTTTTGAACAAAATAAAATGTACCTGTAAATACAAATTCACCCCATTGATTCGGGTATGTGAGTGATTGAGAGAGAGAGACAGTTTGAGAGAGTGAGTTGTGTATGCATGTATGCGTATGCGAGAGTGTATATTGTGGTGGGGTCACTTGTAGTGAGACGTGAACCCAAGATCCTGGTTGAAGCCATCCTCACAGGTACCAAACTTGGCTATCAGCCTCTGCTCTGTATTGTTGTGTATCCCGAAGTCCACCTCGGAGGACGTTTACTCGAAGATCCGAGGTCAAATGTCCTTGCCTGCTGAAGTGTTCCCCTGCTTGGAGGGAACATTCTTGTCTGGTGATTGTTGTGTGGTGTTCATTCATCCATTGTCTCTCACACGCTCACTCCCTCTCTCTCTTCCCCCCCAACCCTTCACTTACACACATTCTGTCTTCCCCGCAACTCTCCCACATACACACAAATGTACACAGATTTTGTCCATCCCAGTCCAACACCGGCACTTCCACATCACTTTTTTCAGGTGGAAGTAGAATAAGCTGACCACACTATATGAAAGAAGAATGGGGGACTTAACCTCTGGCATAGCCAATATATTATCACTAAAATTATAGGTGGTATGTTCACGGTCAGGTTGTGGTTTTGGGGCATTGCTTTGCGCAAAATGACTGCCACTTTTCCGAGATTACAGCAGTGATTATGTTTCAAAAGTTCCTGATTGGCTGTAAAGTGCTTTGGGTTAATCGAAGATCAGGAAAGATGCTATATAAACTGAAGTCTTTTTTTAGATGTATAATACATTATTGAGTTATTTACCTAATGAGTTTTGACAAATGACTATGATGTAAATATTGTGTATGCTCTTGTATATCTTACATATATTGTTATATGATATACTGTTGACATATTTTCTCTTTGAGTTATGATGTTGGCCTAGATTTAAAGGTCGACAGATGCAGATTTTAAGGTGCTCTTGTCTGTTGCTTGTGATTTCTTATTAGACAAGGTATTACAAATGTTTATTTCCTCATTTCCTTTCAATTCATGTTTAGAGAACCCATATGCTTGCATAGTGATAGGATTCATGGATTTTTATTTTAGGATTAATAGATTGTTTCTATATAGAGTTTTTAGAGATCTTAGTATATTGAAACTGTTGTATTGTCTTCCTTACAATTTTATTTGTCCATTTTGTGCTGCTTTCTCTGTTCGTTCAACCAAGATTTTTCTTGCTAATGTCAATATTCTAAAATCCCAACAGACCTTCAGTGTAAAATATTGAAGTAGTTGAAACCATTTTGTGACAAGATTGATCAGTAGAGTTGAATGTAATCCAAAATCCAGCTTTGAGGACACTTTCAAAGCTGGTGAAGGACTGAGCAATAGAGAGTAGCATAGGGATGTTATTCCAAAAGTAGAATTGAGATGACTTAAGAGATAGTAGGAATTGCCGATGCTGGAGAATCTGAGATAACAAGGTTTAGAGCTGGATGAACACAGCAGGCCAAGTAGCATCAGAGGAGCAGGAAGGCTGATGTTTCGGGTTGAGACCCTTCTTCAGTGTTGTTTGGTGTGAATTGGGCATGTATGAAGAGAGCCAGAGGTGAAAGACTGTATAGCATTGACTGAGATAAAGGAGTTTGCAGATGTAGTTTCGAATGAGGGCAGGCTGTAATTTGAACCCAGGGATATTGAATTTGGTGCTCTTGGTGTGAAATCAAAAAATGATTATTTACCCAGTGTTATAGAGATCTGGAATACTCCTTCAAAAGGCTTGCTTAAGACTGGTGATCAATTGCCCCTTTCACAGTTGAGATGAATTGATTTTTACTTTGTCAGGTGAGGCAATCAGAGAATGGGGGTCAAAGGCAGCTAAATGGGGTGAAGGCACAGATCACGCATGATCTAATTGATTGGCAGAGCAAGCTTGAGGAGCTGTTTGACCTGTACCTGCTTTTATGAGATATGTGGGAGAGTAGAGATCATCAAAGACTGAGCTGGCCTCAGTGTCAGATAAGGACATATGTGATAACAGTTCTGGCAAAGTTGTAATTTATTTTGGATAAAGCTCAGAAAATTATTGACAAGTCTTTCAAAAAATTGGTTTAGTGTTAAAGGAAGGACAGTGATGGTAGATATTGGGTAGGGGCTTAGGTCAGCATAGCTGCATGAGTTGGTTCTAGTGACCTTTTCTTGGAGTTTGAAGTTTGATCATGAGCAAGACACTGAGCTTGAACACCACCAGGGATTGCAATGGAGTTGTAGCATGTTATACAATAAGTAACATCACATGACAATGTTTAAAAATCAGTTTATTCCAGAGGTGGGGTGGGGGGACAGTGAAAGACTCGACTGTCATTTTTGCATTTCCGTTGACTACTGGATACCTCAAAGCACTTTACGGTTACTGACAAACTTTAGAAATGAGGTTACTGTTGTCATTGTAGGAAATACAGCAGCCAGCCTGTGCACAACAAGCTGGCACAAGCAGCAACGTAATGATAACCAGGTACTCTGTTTGTGATGTTGCTTGTGGGATGAGTATTGACCAAGGCAATATAGAGAACTGCCGTGCTCATCTTCAGAATCTTTTCATTGGATTCTCTTTTTTACCTCCATCTGAGAGTGTAAACGGAGACTAATTCTAACATCTCATCCAAAATGCAGTTATGAGATTGAGTGGGACTGGAGTTCTGAAATCGCAATCCTTACATGCTACCAGATTACCCATGCTAGACTGAGTTACTTGTCTGTGTCTGTTGTACAGTTTGAGGATAATGTCCACTATCGAGGATAGTTTCAGTGGTGGGTCTTTGTATGACTGAACAAGTGGATTGGCAACTTGCAGATGTTTAGGCATATAGGGTCGGCAAAATATTGGGACTCAGTGCAGGATTTGCTGTTTCTTTCCTTCTCTATCTCATTGAGGCATTTGAACTCAAAACATAGTGCAGCTTGAAGGACAAGTTGCCATTTTAAGCAGTTGGTTGCAGCCTCATCCCAGTTATTAATGTCAATGCTGTTGTACTTCAAGAAGAACTTCAGATTGTCTTTGCAGGAATGCTGGCTGTTTCATAGTTTGAGTAAGTAGGATTTGTAGGGTGGAAGCTGAGGTAGTTTGACATGTCTCCTTAGTTGAGGAAACATCTAAACACCTGTTGATTCTCCGGCCAATTGGCACTAAGTGGTGACATGACAAAGACAGCCTGATCACATACAATTTGTGTACAAAGAACAAGGAAAATTACAGTACAGGAACAGGCCCTTCAGCCCTCCAAGCCTGCACTGACATGCTGCCCGTCACAACTAAAACTCCCTACCCTTCCGGGCACCATATCCCTCTATTCCCATCCTATTTATACATTTGTCAAGATGCCCTTTAAAAGTCACTATAGTATCTGCTTCCACTACCTCCCCCGGCAGTGAATTCCAGGCACCCACCACCCTCTGCGTAAAAAAAACTTGCCTTGTACATCGCCTTTAAACCTTGCCCCTCGCACCTTAAACCCATGGCCCCTGGTAACTGATTCTTCCACCCTCGGAAAAAGCTTCTGACCATCCAGTCTGTCCACACCCATCATAATCTTGCAGACCTCTGTCAGGGCACCCCTCAACCTCCCGTTATTCCAGTGAGACAACCCAAGTTTCTCCAACCTCTCATCATAGCTAAT